TAGGGCATATGCGTTAAAAGCTCCAATGTCTAGTTTGGAGCGAGGTTTCGGTAGGCCTGAGACGGTATTTTGTGCACTAGAATCATTAGCCATGATGACACTTGAGAAGGAAGTCAAAAAAGAAAGGATAGAGTTGAAAGTCTACATAGGAGGAATAATAAGAATTGAAAAGGGAGAGTGATTATGAATACAGTTATCTTGAGTGCCGTTAGAGATATGAGGAGAGCTATCACTTCCCGGTTGCCCACACCGTGGAAGAGGTCTTCCAGAGGTATCTGAAAAAATTGGGTTAGGGGTGGTATTAGTGATCTGTGGGTGTGACCGCAGTGCCCAAGGGACAACTTTCTGAGGTCGGTCACACACGACTTTTTTGTGAGTAATTTTCGTGTTAGCTTCATACTTATTAGAAACTTACCGCCGGAGACGGATATCCGTGGGATAAAATGTGGTGCGCATTTTTAGGGTCGACATTTTTAACCACACCCTTCCTTTGTGAGAAGGCAACATTGCTGTTATGCTGGTTGTCTGAAGGAAACATCTTACTGCCATCACACATCTGTACAATCGGCAGTACGACTTCGCCTTCGGACATCGGGTCTGCTGGTTTTAGTCTTATCGCTCTTCAACCGACCTGTCTGTCATGGTGGGACCTTGAGGACGATTTTTCCATTCAGTATAGGTCGATCGGTTCATAACGATAGGCAAGCCCAACCACCACGTCAAGGTAGCAGCAACGGTCGGGCTTCTTAGCAGTTTTACATATTTCTTTTAAACATAGATGAAATAATGGCATTCCAATACCTAAACTGTCTGGTTATAAACAGTTTGTATTAGAAATTCCTTTTGGAAGTAGTTTCTATCTGTATCGACCAATCAAAAGCTTGGCATTCATTCATTCTTTATAAATGTAAACTGTTAAAAGTTTAGATAGCATTTGTCGGTAAACCAAAATCTACGGATTTTTTCAAATCATTTTGTCTCTAACATTTCCTTTCCAGGCCCTCTGAATGCACCAGTAGGAAAGCAATTGTTAATAACTGCCAGTACATGGTCAACATCAGCCATTATCTGTGCCTAACTTAAATTGACTTAGGATTAGAGCAGCTAGTTATTTTGATGACAGTGTATAGCTATGTTAATTCTCATTTATTTACTAATTTACACTTATTAAGTAAGTCAAAACTGAATCCAAAATTTTGTGCATTAGTCTTAAAACTTTTATTTTAATATGTGACATAAAATACAGGTGTCAGGCACGAAATTCAATACGTTCATAATTCAGTAAGCAGATATTTTATTGATCACGTTTATAATTGTAGTCGATCCGTTACGTCCATCAACCGATACTTATAAGACTGGGAACCAGTTAGCTCATGTTTTCAAGAAGTACTTTGATATGTTGTATACTCACTGATTGTTGATGACTTTTCCCTTGCTTGTTCAGTTAAAGAATTCGTGAAGGCTTTGTAAAAGCACTTATAAACAATGTCTTAAACCAGTCCCTAATTTGGCACAAATTATAATAATGTAATCAAATACAAGAACTTAACATAAAGATGAATGATCCATAACTGTTATGCATTGACCGAAATTCGCATCACCTTTCCAATTCGTACTTTATCTGCCCAATGTGATTAATAAGAATATTCATTCTTGGGAATATTTAGGTATTAGCTATTGCATACAGCTAAAACTGATATGTGAAATAACTGATTCGATTTAAATTTGGGTATAAACCGTAAAAATGTTGGAAACACAAATATATTTTTTAAAATGTTCACTTTCGTTCATAAAATCCCACCATATTGACTACTCAGTAACGCGAAACTGAATCTAACATTAAACAAATATTCGTATACTAAAACAGAAGGATTTTTTGAAAATGGCATGTAAGTTACGAAAACGGATGAGAAGTAACTTTAATGCTGTCTACATATAACAACCTAGTATCTGCCTCTCCTATTTAGCTGACTATAGTCTGAATTTGTGTCATTTCATTTCTGTAATAAATTATATAGCGTTAGATATGATACGAACATAATATGTAAATTATCGTGAAGTCAGTTCTGTTTTACTACGACCAATAACAAACCTCTGAAATTTTCACTAATAAGTGGCACTGTTCTTTGATGTTTCAATCAGACTAAAAATGACAACATTAAGATATGACATACAATGCAGACTAAGATTTCCTTATTTTTTGGCAAGAAGCAAATACAGTAGAAACATCTATTATGGCTGGAACCTGTAATAAGTTTGTCAAGGGGAACCCCTAAAACTGTTTTAAAGGATATTAATAACCAAATCATAATCACCGAATATAGTTAAGATTTCAGTTTATCCGGTAATCGATTTAATATGGATAAGCCGTCATAAGACGACCAAGTGTTGCACTGAGTGACAAAGCAAGAACATTTATGTAGGAGAACTATGTATACCGGTTGTTCGATTTTCTGGATACCACAATGTCTGGCGTGGAAGATTAATCTGCGTTGAATGTAAATATTAACAAGGATGAGGAGTAGCATAGCCCTTGAGGTTTCTGTCTATAGTGTTAAATTTAGCACGTCATCTCACCACGGAACAAAGAACATTTTCCCAAAAACCAGAAATCATTTTATATTTTCAGTGCCTTTAAACGACAGAACCATCGGATTTCATAAGTGAAGGGCGGGTTTTAACAAATCCATACTAAAATTCTCATCCTTAGAAAAAATATTTGTGGCAAATCTGAAATACGATGGGGATAATGAGAACCCCAACGAACACTGTTTTACATTTGTTAACACAATGGCTTGTAATAAGCTATTGCATGACAGGTAGTGGTTGAGTAACAAACTTTTATTAAGGTAATGCTCTTCTTTTGTAAGCTTTGAGATAATAAGCATTAGTATAGGGGACCTTAATAAACAATTTTGTGTTATCATTAAGTTTAAGAATTTATTTTTTATCTAGAGTCTGTATGTATGTGTGAGTTCCAAAATATTTCGAGGGATAGGGAATTAGTCATCTTCTTAGAAGTTTGTCTAAAAACTCTCCGGTTTCTTATTTTCAACAACTTAAGTGTTGTATAACTGTGGACTATATACACAGATTTTAGGCTCATTACATGTAGTGTTCATACTAACCTAGAATATTTCTTGTAAATGATTCCATATCTATATACAAAGTACTACTAGCCACACCGAATTTCATTACTAAAATTTATCGAGTTGATTTGCATTCATTGCAAAACTATCTCTGCCCCTTGTTATGAAGAGTAGCAATAGTTTGCTGTGGCCAGTGGGATGGAATTATATTCCGATTTCAGTATGTACCTAATATTTCGTCTACTTTTAGTGATGATCCAGGAACACAACTCATAATGGCCTGGAAAATTAACTCTCCGGGTTCTGTCGCCTTTTGTCAGTTCAGTTTAGCGATATCTCTGTCTTTAGAGCATAGCCATATAGTAAGAATTTCTGATGCTCTGAATTAACCATCTCTGTAATTGACGCTGCAGTTTTGCGTTTGTATGTAGTTATATGGAACCAATTCAACAGTCATAAGTACTTTTGTGCTGTTTAAGGTATCACAAACTATAAATCATGCAAAAATTGTATATCAGATTAAATACGCAATTTACGTCTTTGGAATTTCAGACGAAACTATTCTAAAGCAACAGATACAAAGAATACAAGTACATTGATATTCATTTATAGTAAAGTTCACATCATTAGTATGCTTTATAATCGAGTACAAACTGAATTTCAGTTCTCACTTCGAGAAAACGAGCATAAATGAAAGATCATTTTTACTTACTGTGCGGACAACTTGAATTCGAATAGTTCGTGGGTGAATACGGAAGAAAAAATAATTTTTTGAGAAATATATATGTCTTATAGAAGTCTCGTATACTTTCGTTGGTGAAAAGTTTAATGTTTTCAAGTACCTTTCTTTTGAAATCAAACACCTTATTTGAGTAAGTAATGCTGGACCCATCAACAAACATCAGTCAGGAAAAACAGTATCTTCACTGAAAAACAAGTTGAAAGAATCAACACCGGTCAATCCGCATGCCATCCTTAAAGCTGAAGATCGAATGTCATTCTTATCGATTCAGAAGAGATGCACGTAAGTCGCGCATGAATAAAAATAAACAAACTTTTGCCGAGGCTAACCACAAATTGTTATAAGATGTTTTTTATTTACTGATATGATGAGCAACGTCTTTGAGGAAGCAAATGAAAAGCATTCTCTACATCATTTCATAGCGTCTGGATTAAAACGAATGTGGTTGAGACTTGGGGTTTTAAACTAGAACGTGTGTCTCAATCCTATATAACTTCAACTAGAAAATAGTTAAAATATTCTTGTGAGATAACATGGTAATAACTTTTTAGAATACATGGAAGAAGAATAGAACAACCAAGAACACAAAGCTTTGGTACTGATAACTTTCTTATTTACATAACATAACTGTGAATCAATCAGTTCTGTAAAACATACTGTCAGAGGCTGTGTTATTTATCATGCGTCATCTACAGAAGTCGAGTTTAGGGAGTCACACATGTTATCCCTATTAACATTTAGGATTTTCTCATCAAACGGAGTTGAACCATTCGTGTGATTCATGAAAAAGTACGTTTTTTCAGATATGACACGTTTTTATTTGGTTATTTATTATCCAGAGAGTCGTGGAAGGTTTATTTAGTGATTAAATGTTGATGGTGTCCAATACCCATCTAATGTCAGTTCTTCTGTAAAAATTATTCATTGGAAAAGAAGTTTTTAACTAATGGACAAAACTGACTTAGTTCTGCTTAAAATTACAGCATATTTTATTTATCATATAGCAGTAGTAGAGTATAGGATGTAAACCGTTTGGATGGCTAAATGATTTCTAGATGTATGGATAGACTTGAGTTTTTCGGTATCGGATTTCAGAGTACATATACAACTCCATGAAAGTACGATTTTCAAATCAAAATGATCCAAACCAATAGTACATTTTTACTTACGGTTTATCAGGAGACAGTTCAAAACGAAGTTTACGTATCAAAGCATAGGCCGGTATACTGCTTGTACTTAATGCCCTTGTGGATTTCGTTCTGTTCTTCATTGTGAAGTAAAGTTTTTGTCACAGCAAAAACTCATACGACGTTCGAAAATATGGTCAAGGTATCCAATATTCAATACATCGGCCACGGTATCGTGTAAACTGGTAGCTTTCTTTGAGCTCACTTATTGTTGTTTCAGTACGTTTCCTAGTATTCAATAGTGTTTATTAAATAGTAGTCTAGTCAGTTGACTGTACCAACTTTATTCATTTTTGTAGTTATTTGTGGATTTGCATATCATGTAGTTCGAGTAAATGAGTTTGACTCAGGGTAATACGGCTTCTGGATACCAGTAGCCATCATATTACCAGGCAGGGGTTGGTTGGTTGCAATATAAAAATAATTAAATGATAACTCAAATGCTAATAGAAGACGACGGTTTCAGGAATGAATAGATAAGTCAAATTATTGGTAACGCAGGCTATGAGAAGGTCAAACTGTAATAATAAATGGAGAAACCAAGATGTGACAGTAAGTGTTCACCGATATGCGGTAATGGCAACCGTGGCAAATTGTGAGACATGAATCAGAGAGGATTGGTAATTCATGATTTGCTCCTAGTTGAGGATGTAATAATAATAGTAAAACCATGTCTAAAGTCGCCATTCAGAATTTTAGCCTCAAGGTATGTATGCATCCAGAAAGCAAAGATCCTGAGTTAGGTCTCCCAAGTATTCGCATTGTAGTTCTTTGGTAAGGATTTTCGCTGTCATTGGAAGGTAATGTGATAGTTTGTTTGTTGAATTATATTAAAAATGTATAGATTTCCCTTAATCGTATTCCTTTCGACTATCAACAAATGTCTTTTATGTCCGCTTCATTGGCATTAGAAAACTCGTGAATACAGTCGATCACATTTAGAAACGATGTACTGTTAAGAACATTTATTGTCAAGGTGTAATATCATATTTTACAAGTAGATTAGTAGTAGACAAATGCTCGAGCTACGATCGTTACGTATTTTAATTGTAATTTCAGGTGTCAGCACGAAAGTCAACGAATGGTAAGAAGAAGCTTAGGCGAAAATTAAGTTGCGCATAAGAATAGTAGCGCCCTTTTCAAACATTGGCGTTACCATTCTGAAGCAAAATAATCTTTCTGTGAAAGTACCCTTGCATCATGATGTCACATAGTTTCGTAAGTTTTTTTTCGTTAACGGATGACGATAAGAATCGTGATGTTTGCGCTTTCAATGAGTAGGAAAAGAAAATATACTTCGTATCCCACAGTATGTTTGACGCGACTGTGGTTGCTGCTCCAAGCAACGTTGACGAATTGGCACAGGAAGAAATTAAATAACGATATAAAATGGAACCTGTCCCTACAAAAGTAGTCGAAATATCGAAGGCCGATCACAGTAAGAGATCAGTTGTTTTTCATAGGATCATGGAGAGCGAAAGCTTTGAACCAAAAACTCGTTTTGAGCATGACATTGTATTGATAAAACAACTATTTAATCAACCCATGCTTCAAAATATCTCCGGATTCATCTTGCCAAATGTGTATAGTCTAGGTAGTTGAGCGAACATGAAGCCTAATCAATCTAGACTGCGTAAAGTAGTATTCAGATCTTCGAATGAAAGGGACTTAATTTTACAGAATAAACATAAATTAAAGGGTTTGGGAGTTTTTATCCGAAAGGACTTGTCGCTGGCAGACTGTGTAAAAAGACGGGAAGCCGAAAAAGAACTTAAAAATTAGGTTAGACGCTGGCGAAAAGACCTGAAAATTGTAAATTTTCGGGTTGTGAGGCTTCGTCAGAGAATGATGCCGAAGCCAGTCTGGGTGAAGCACGAAGCCACTTAAATAGGCTACGAATTTTTTACACCAATGCCCGAAGCTTTCTCAATAAGCGATCGGAACTAGGTGAACGGATTGACTTTACAAAGGTAGACATAATCGCAGTCACAGAAACCTGTCTGACACAGTCTATCGATAGTATGGAACTCGATTTTCAGGGTTTTACTTTAGTAAGGACCGACAGAATACATAAGCGTAAAGGAGGGATAGTAGCTCTATTCATTAGGAATGCTATCCCGTTTGCATTATTGACAGTGTATCCCATGATAGTGGGACCTGTGAATTGGTTAGTTGCCGCTTGAAATTCAAGGGGCAAGAGCTGCTGATTGGCTTGGTCTATCGCAGTCCAAGCTGTGAGGTAAATGATGTCCTGCCAAACAGGCTCAAAAATTGGTCGCGAATAGTCGATGTCTAATCCTAGGGGACTTTAATGCACCTATGGTAGACTGGGGAAATCTGCGAACTGAATCGTCAGATAATTCCTTCGAGCAGGAACTAGTTGATTCGGTTATAACATGTGCCCTAGTGCAACATGTGGAAGAAGCGACTAGGTACGACCCGCACACTGAATCATCCTTACTAGATCTTATATTAACTCACTATGAGGATGACGTTGCGAACCTACTTTACATTCCACCCCTAGGTAAAAGTGATCACGCAGTTTCAACTTTTGACTTCCATATAACTGTCAATCACGAGCACGCGTCAACTCAATCCAGACTTAACGTCTGGAAAACAAACACACCAGATATTATGCACTCATCATCATTAGTAGATTGGACAATAGACCCAGAGTCCTCAATTGAAACGGCTTGGGACGCATTCCGAAATTTGTACTGAAAAGTTTTCGCACCCCACATTTCTTGGACTATACCAAGGGGGGGGGCCGAGAAACTCCCCACGACAGTTCAGTAGGAAGATCCGCATTTTTCTCCGTAAGCGAAGAAAAATGTGGGATAGATTTAGGTCACTGGGGACTGATGAGACTAAATCTCAGTATCGAAACGCCAGGAATACCTGTTCCTCGAACCTCCGCAAGTCTAAAAAGCTGTACGAACAAAAAATTGTTAAGGAATCCATAGAATGTCCTAAACGTTTATATTCCTATATAAACCAAAGGACAGAGAGAAGAGGAAATATTCCTGCCCTGTGGGAGACAGTACTGCCGCATCATTATTGGAAGATGACTTTGGTAAGGCTCAAGTGTTCTCAAACTACTTTAGCAATGTATATACCATAGAAGCACCCTTCCCGTCAGCGCATACTAACCCCCACACACACATACACTGGATAGCGTGACCATTAAAGAACTCTATGTCTTTGGTTTGCTAAATAAGCTTGGCATAGGTAAATCCATGGGGCCCGATGAATTACATCCTAGGTTACTAAAGGAATTATCTAACTTCGTTGCGAACCCTTTAAGTATATGCTTTAAGCTATACGTAACGCAGGGTCGTTTACCAAAAGACTGGAAGAACGTCATAGTAAGTCCTGTCTTCAAAACAGGTACGAAACATAAACCTGAGAATTACCGACCAGTTAGCCTAACTAGTGTGGTTGTTAAAATCTTAGAAAAGATTATTTGGAAGGAGCTGTTTAAGTACCTCGATGTAAACTGGATCCTTTCGGAGAAACAGCACGGTTTCAGAATAGGTTATTCTTGTCTCACTAACTTATTAGTCGCTCGTGAAAGCTGGTGCGCTCTTAAAGACCAAAAGTTACCTGTAGACGTAGCCATTGCTATTCCTCTTGTATGTAAATGACCTTCCTCGCTTACCATCATCATCGGTCTTGATATATGCTGACGATGTCAAGATATGGAGAACGATACGATGTAAGGGTGATAGCTTAGAATTCCAAAATGACCTGAAGAAATTATCCGAATGGTCTCATACCTGGCAGCTGCTGATAAATACTTCCAAGTGTGTTGTAATGCATATCGGTCATCAAGGTACAGATACATACACGATGAATAACACTGAGCTACCTGTTGTTCAGACACATGATGAATTAGGAGTCATCGTTAGCCAAGATCTGAAGACTACTGCACACTGCCGTGCAATAGCCTCCAAAGCTTTTAGAACTTTATGGTCAATACGTAGGGCTTTTACTCATGTCGACGCTCAAACGTTTTTGACTTTGTATACAGTGTTCGTACGTCCTAAACTTGAGTACTGCATACAAGCGGCTAGCCCCTGCTTAAAAAATGACAATGAGCTTTTGGAAAAGGTCCAGAGAACAGCAACTAAGCTGATTCCCGGAATAGCGAAGCTTCTGTATGATGCTCGACTGGCCAAGCTAAACCTATTCCCTTTGTAAAGGGCAGCTGGTCCAGACGGATTGGCCTCAAAGGTCTTTAAGGATGGTGGTCTAGTTTTAGCGATTAGGTTGATTAATATTTTAGCTAAAATCTAGGAGTTAGACGTTATCCCATCTAACTGGTCACAATCACTTATCGTCCCAATATTTAAGAAAGGGTCAAAATCATCCTGTGACAACCACAGAGGGATTAGTTTAACTAATATAATATCTAAAATACTAGCTTCGATAATTTTCGGACGCCTAACTAAGACTCGTGAGCTGCAAACACGTGAAAATCAGACTGGCTTCAGATCTGGTCGTGGCTGCACCGACCACATATTCACCATTCGTCAGGTTCTAGAACACAGGCATACTTATCGGCGTCCGACAATAGTGGTCTTTCTTGACTTAAAAGCAGCGTTTGACTCTGTTGACCGAGAGGTTCTGTGGCAGTGTCTGTCATTGAAAGGCGTACCTCAGAAGTACATAAACCTTGTGAAGGCTCTTTACTCGAACACTACTAGTCGAGTCAGAGCTTATGGCGAACTGTCATCTGCTTTCGCAACCTCAAGTGGCGTCCGCCAAGGCTGTCCACTTTCTCCATTTTTGTTCAACTTCATCATAGATATACTGATGGAAATAACGCTCTCATCGACTGAATTCTCAGGTATTGATCTCCTACCAGGAGGTCCACTTATTGACTTAGAATACGCAGATGACATAGTCCTGTTTAGTGAAGACGCTGATGAAATGCAGAGTCTTTTGGTAGCACTGAGCAACAATGCCAGAATGTTTGGGATGAGCTTCTCTCCCTCCAAATGCAAGTTGTTGCTTCAGGACTGGTCTTCGTCAACACCTGAACTAAGGATAGGGGGTGAAGTAGTCGAACGCGTCGACAACTTCACTTATCTTGGAAGTCTGATCATCCCTAATGGGTTGGTGTCTGACGAAATCTCAGCATGGATTCGAAAAGCTCGTTTGGCCTTTGCCAACTTACGTCATCTATGGCGAAGGCGAGATATCCGTCTATCAATTAAGGGGCGAGTATACTGCGCGGCAGTTCGTTCCGTTTTACTATACGGCTGCGAAACATGGCCTTTAAGAGTAGAAGATATTCGTAAGTTACTAGTATTTGACCACAGATGCCTTAGAAATATTGCGGGTATCTGCTGGGATCACCGGGTAAGTAATAGTGAGGTTAGACGCAGGGTTTTAGGGAATGATGTAAATCAGTTGATGAGGTTATGAACCTTCATCGACTGAGATGGTTGGGCCACGTGCTGCGTATGCGTGAACACCGATTACCGCGACGCGCAATGGTAACCGGTGTTAGGGATGACTGGAAGAAAGTTAGGGGCGGCCAAACCAAAACGTGGCATCAGTGCTTGAAGTCACTAACTTCTAGTCTGAGCCATGTTGGTAGATGCAGACTACCTGGTTGGGGTCCGCGTGACTATCGTAACCAATGGTTGGAGACTTGGTGACATGGCTCAGAATCGCTCTCAACGGTGTAAGCTTATACACTCTTTGTCTTACTTTAAACTAAGAGATTAAAATCACTTCAAATCTTTCTTTCTACGAACTAATTCTATCTTCCTGTACTATCTCCTTATACACACTCTTTCTTTTATATATTACCACCACTGAATTAACTATTTCTATGAATCCGGTGTTCATCTTGTTGTGCTAATGCGGTATGGCAACTTGGACCGATGCATATTCGTGCCTGGTCCTACGTTGCAGCTGACTGACTGACTATTCCCTTTGTCATATCGTAGAACTAGAGATGACTTGATTACAGTTTTTAAATTGCTTAGTGATAAGTTTGCACCTGATATGCCCTCATTTTTCTTGTCTTCCAAAACAGAGAAGATACGAGGGCATTCCAAAAAAGTTCACAAGCCCAGAACAAATTACTTGTCAGCTGATTATCGACTTTCCCACCGAATCATCAACGAGTGGAACTCATTACCTCAACACGTGGTTGAAGCTCCATCCGTAGATTCTTTCAAAAGAAATTTGGATCAACTGAGAGAACACAATTGCCAGGACTAACACAGGCCATCAAGCCTCCTGTCCTTTCCAAACTGAAACTGAGTATCCCGAGCTCCCAAGTTTGGGGAACTTTAGGGAATTTCCCCAGTTCTGGATAAATTTTGGGGTTTCAGTGCCATTTTGCCCAAAGTTTATCATAGCCACTCCTCAAAATGTGTCAAATTTTCCCTAAAATTAGGAGCTCGGGTTGCTTATGTAAAACCACCTCTAAAACGCTTTTTTTGGTGAAATGTCAAGTTGTGTGAAATGGTTAGCAACTTCAAGTGTCATGACGTATGACAAAATGTAGCACATGGACGTTTTAGGATTATCATCCACTAACCGGGTCGTCATGGTATGTAAAGTATTGGTTCGATCCTGCTGAAGACATGCAGTCAACGTCCTTACGCCCTCTTCAGATGACAAAGGGAACTACTAAATTGCTTGTCCAATATCAAGTTTTCGAGTATGTTCACGCCCATCACAATTAGACGTCAGCTACATAATGTTCTCACTCAAGCCATATTGCTGACACGTTCTGCAGAACAGCATGTAGCTTATTAAATCGTAAGCATTAACTTAAATCAGAAACATAACTTACCCGACCGCTAACGCACTGCATACAGGCTTCGACTAGGACGTGGAGGATGACACATGCAATTGCGTCTAACTAGTTTATTAGCGTTAAGACAAGCCTACTTCGAAAATGACGAAACGATATTGTCCGGTGACCTGGATTTAAGACATTGAGCCTGACTGTTTCCAGCCTTCATCTTAACCACATCTATGTCAACGAAACTATAAGGAAGCCCATCATTCCTTTTTAATGCACCTCCAAAAGACAATGCGATTACTGTACCTAACTTTCGATCTTTTATACGTTTAGTGGCAAGGTGTTTTCGTCCGTCAAATTACTAACATGGTGACCAGCCAAACTATTGAACGAAACTAAGACACCCTTCGCCGTCTGTAAGTTAACTACAGGAAATGAGTGTTTGTATTTTTAACTCACCACAGTGGTGGATGGCCTTAAATTTAAGGATCAACCAATTATCATCTGAATGGGGGGTTGGGAAGGCTGTAGTAATTTCAGTTGTTGAATTAGTGACTTGATCTTAGCTAGACCACCATTGGAGATGGAAGCACTAGACGATCGTTTCGTTCTAAAATGGGACTCCTCAGCGGTGCTCACCTACGATGAATGTTCACTCAAGACCACGAATCGATTGAGGCTAGAGATTAACGCCGTCAGATGCCGGTTCAGTGGTCTTAAGGTTAAGATTTCGCGCGTGACATAGAAGGTCTGAGGTTGCACATGCAGGATCGGGGATAAGCACTGCTGAGGAGTCCCATACTGAAACGAAACGGCCGTCTAGTGCTTCCAGGTTTTTAATGATGATCTAGCTTAGATCGACTCATGAATTAAACTATTAAAGTTATCATCTGGTTGGGCACCGTTCTGCAGGTTCATATCCACCACGTCGGTAGGATAGAGATAACGTTCATTACCCACAATTTATTTAATATTTACAATGATAATGATGTCATAACATCATTTGTTATGCTTAATTCAAATTATACACATCAATATCACTTTTGCTTCTTCCTTTTGTATAGTAAGTCGTTTTATCCTAAATGGACGCGGCACATAGTGGAGATGGTTGGGGTATCGGTGGTGAATTGGAATTGGCTCAAGACTTCGAAGTTATCGATCTAAATGTATGTTTTGTCTGGAGCTCAGCTAAATTTCCCTTCGATAGGAATTTGATTCTAGTTGTGGTTACATTTCAGAAGCAGATGACTCAACATATATTTCTTCGTTTCTTAATGGTCTCGTAACTGATGAAACTCTTTATTCACGATATTTGAATGGGATTATCAGTTTTGATGATTTGATGCGTGAAATGCACCATTCTACTACTCTGGACAATGATTCTTGCCACAGTAGTGATTCAGACTGTTCTGGCAAAAACGACGGTTCTGAATATTCTACACGTAAGTTTACTTATGATTTTTTTAATTTTACCACAAATATACGCTTATTGTATTATATGTAAAAACCATGAGTATATATTAACAATCAGCTTCGATATTCTATTGTCTGAAACCGCTTATCTACAATAGTCTGATATTAAGTAATGGAGCAATACTATAAATGTCTCAAAGCTAAACACACCCTCGGAACCCTATATATGATCGAGACGCGTAATATTAGAATAGGTGCATCCTATAACAATGAAGAATTATTGTTATGGCAAATTGTCAATTTTAAAGTAACCTAAAACTATTATGCAGAGGTGATTAAATGCTTTGTGTTAATTGGCCCAACAACAGAATAGACTGTCCAGTCCATACGAACATAGAGCTTGGGACAGACACCTTATCTGCCACACCATACTAGGATGATAAGCGAAATAAATATAACAAAAAGATAAAAAGACCGAAGTAATGTAACAGTGGTAATGCAATAGAATAAGCAAAAGAAATATTGTTTTAAAGCTCAGAGTGGGAAGACATATGAAAGGGTACTGAGATTCAATATCTTAAGGAAGATAAAGAGCAAGTGTATTTGCGCCATTGTGTCCGATTCTATGTCATATCACCTAAGGTCTTTAGCTACTGATCGCGGCTGTCCACTTAACTGCTGGCTGAATCAAAATTTGGAGCAGAAAAATTTCTACTCTACGGACAAATGACCTAAAACGATTATTCCTAACTCAGCTAATTCGTATTGAAGTCCCAAAGTCACCAACTGTTTACAGTACTACCTTTATGTTATGTTATGTTTTAAGAGTCATTTCGATTTTCCATTTTGCTTGTATAGTTCATTGTTAAAAATTCTCATTAGTGGCTTGTAGTTAATTGCAACTATCTGAATTCATTTTGTCGTTACGGTGTTCAAAACAAGATGCTTTTCATTTATTTGAACACATAAATATTGGTACAAAGGGGCACTGAATACGTCTGCAACACACATTCACTTGATTTGTGTATGGTCTGTGATACTCCCCGAGTTCCCAAACCGAAACATGTAGTTTTCTTAGGGGGCCATACCTTTAGATTTCGACCTAAAGGTCTTATCTACAAGGCAGTGGAGCAATGTCAGGGGACGCAGTACCATGGTAGCTGGTGACCAACAATAGGTCCTATACGCTATTTATTCCTTCAGGATACTGGAGCCCATATGCACCATTGGTTTAGAATCAGGGTTTTCCAGCTCCCCTAGATGGACCCTCGGTGCCCACCAACCTAGTTAAAGCCCCGGACATTCGCTTTTCGTCCTATCAATTTCGTAAACAACACCCATCGTATTGTTTGTAATTTTAGTATTCATAAGTTTTGCAACCCGAGCTGATAAGCTTTTTTGATACTACTATGCACAAGACTCAATATTGTATAAAACGAAAGGGCGATGATTGGGGAATTAAAGGTTAAGACTGTTACCTGCTTCGGTTTGGGCACCCAGGCAGTATCCCATCCCTCACACAAATCGAATGATTTATGTGGCGCATATCTGTTTTCTGCCTCCTTGTACCAATATTTATGTGTTTAAATAAATATGTGACAGTAAAAGAGGTTGAGTAAGTTTCTTCTGGGTACATAGTTATGGCTCCTCCAAATATTTGAGAAAAGCTTCAACAATCCATAGGAAATGGAAGCTCACAGCTTTCAGTCTGTTTTTTCTCACTGTGTATATGACTTTAAGCGGTGTGTCTGCTTTTGCTGAATGACGAGTATTCACAAGATGTCAAATGGTTGAGGCATTCGTTGGTCCATTACTACCTCTTTTTATCCTTCGGGGATAATCTTTTTGAATCCGATTTGGTAGAATGTCCATTGAACACCCGATATGTGTAGCAACACTGAAGCATGTGGATTTTTAAATATACATGTAAGTGGTCGGATGCGAAAGCTTATTCTTTAGATTATTACTGAATATAGGCCTACTGGTGAACACCAGCCTCAAAGGTGATGCAAAAAACGTCTTTTTGAGAGTTAAAAATTCTCTTCGAGGTGCCGAGAGCTTTGTTACCATTGGAATCGATGTCCATTTTTGGTGCAGTGATTGTTAATTTTGGAAGTTTGAGCTTTATATCCTAGTCATCAGATATTAGTAGATATTCATGCCCGATAAGGATTTTTCCTAGATTTAGTCCCTCATATATGAAGTTGGGTTTATAAATATATCTTATTTATGTATATGTGTATGGGCGAGTGGTATAACCCAGTTCCTCTTTCTACTAATAGGCATTCACATGCAGGAGTTTTCTAGTCGGACATCAAGTGAATGTCCTATGTAAACGTATCCTTAGATTTCCTTCAGGTTTTGTCATCATTTCAACATTGAGGAAGCCGATGTTTAGTATTTTTTCCATTCCAGGAGTAAATGTCTTGGTGGATGGCTGTTTAAGGTCTGGGAGATATAATTCAAAGCACATTTACCATCACTAATAATACAGGTACCATCTTAATACCTTTCCAAACGGAACTCGTCGATGATTATTTCCATTAACCTTTTACCCTTAACTGGCTTATTTGTTCCCACTTTTGTTTGATTATATTTCATTTTAATTTTAGAACTTTTTTCCTATGTTATAACACATACCACTTTTGCGATGAGTGACTAAATGCTGGCCATATCCACTTTTCTATGAATAATGTAATTCGCGATCTCATAATGTTTCGCTGTATGTAATAAAAAAGCTTTTTCTAAAAAACTATACCCAGACTACAGCTATGGTAAATCATATTAATCGGATAATTTGCTTTTATTGATATATTTAGATCCAAATTATTGCCATTTTAGACATTTTTACTGACGTGATATTCTCAGGACAAAAAGATTACTCTAAAAATATTTGTTTTAGGACCTAGGAGATCTAAAAGACGACAAAATTCTGATACAGTTGGAAAGAAAAAACTGAAATTAAGAGGACCACTTATTGTAACTTTTATCTGTTCTCAAAATTAACATTTAACCTCTATGAAACTTAATAGTCTAAACGTGCTCGCCTACCAATTGAGTTAGCACAATATCTTGGAGAAGCTGAAAGACATTTGAACAATGATGAATTCGAACACGCTGAACGTATTTGCTATCAGATCATTGACACAGGTAAATTTATTAGTTAATATTTATATAGTATCCGTTAACAAAAAAAGAATACAGAGTATTATTTTTACTTAATAAGTCTCGTATTTTGTGAGTTTTAAGAAGTAGATTGTAGTTAACTGGTGCTATCTAGTGGTTAAAATATCCAATAGTGGGGTTGCTGTGTATGAACGAATCTCTGATAATATACGTAAATGTTATTATCAAAATGATCATTTATAAGCTTTGGACTCAGTACATTTCTTGATGCGTGATTTCTACTGTTGAGTATGTTAATATCTCAAAACACTTTAACTAAGCGTTAAAACCAGCTTTCCTGTAAACATAAAATATGACCAGGTTTTCAAAATTTTCAAAATACTAATAAGTATGAAAATTCTGAACATCAGAAAGACGAAACTTTGTACGTCAAGGTAATATTTTGTTCGAACTCATCGCCTTTTTAGCCAATCGTACCTATTTAACTGAGAATTTAGAGGAGACGATCTTCATCTTTGTCACCGTTAGGTTTTTGTATAAACAGTTTTGGCTCGAAAAAGTAGAATTGCTTTCTTAATACAGTACACATGCATAGAACTGGTGAGAAAAAGAGCTTAACAGTCCTTAATTGCAATATTTGGTAGATACATTTACTAATTAAGTCGTAAATCTTAGATTCACAGATAGTTTTTATTAGCTATTTCAAGCGTATTCTTGGGTAAAATGTTGTATACATGCGCTCAGTTCATGGTTAATATGACATGCATTGCGTAAAAGTTTTCTGGTACTATTACCTTTATCTCATTCATCTATTGGCACTAAATACTTACAAGGCATACAGTGTTATTCTTTCTTGTATTTAGCTCCCCAAGCTTCCCAACCATATATTGTTTTGGCCGAAATTAGTTTCCGTCGTGGGAACCAAGAAAAAGCCAAGGAAGTAAGTTTAACCGACTTAAACAGTTCATTTTATAGTTGAAAAATAATTATCACTGTTGATTACGGATTCACTGAGATCTTTAACATTTATTTAAAATAAGAGTAATAGGAATGAGGAGTTAGTTGTTTTCCCGACCTGTTATTTACAAAATTATTCTAAAATTTACAGCTATATTATGTTTCCGACTAATTTCTTCACAGTGAGACACCGATTGCAACGCTTTTGTTCTCCTAGCTGATTCGCTTCTTTGATTGTGATTCTTTTTCAGTTTTTATATCAAGCTGCTCAGAGGAACCCATCCGATAAAAATACTTGGCTTACCCTAGCGGACTGGGCTGAAGAAGCTGAGGATTTCCCTCTTGCTATACACTATGCACGACAGGGTATGCATTTTTGCGTGATCAGTTCGAAAGTAGTTTACTTGTATTTATCAATAGGACTTTCAAAATGTTTCTTATTACAGAGAGGAGGTGCATCTTTGGGTTTTCCTATTATTTTACAACTTTAGCCCTTCGAAGAAATCGAGCTGATACATCATTACGCCAACGTCTTATAGACTTATGTCATGTAGCTGGTCGAAGCAGAGAGGCATTACAGTTACGTTTGGCCGCTCTTTCAGTTACCCCGGAATCGACGGGTGAGGAACAATTTGAAGTTGCTCGAGAGCTAGCCGATGTAAGTTTTATTGAGCTTTATCGTAACTTGTTAAATTTGTCGTTGATATGCTTTTAGAGGTAACACTCTCCTCATCTAAATTGCCAAAAGTTGAACTTTTATAAGGAGATTTACTTGTTGACTTAGAATATGCCAATGACATAGTGGAAGACGCTAACTTAATTCATAGTCTGCTGACCACTCTGAGCAACAATGCAGGCATGTTCGGCACGCGATTCTCCCCCTCGAAATGCAAAATGTTGCTTCAGGATTGGGTTGCATCGACACCCGAACTAGTGATAGGGAGTGAAGTAGTTGAGCGTGTCGACCGCTTCACTTATCTTGGAAGTCTCATCAGCCCTTGTGGTCTGGTGTGTGGTCGGTAAGAGTAGAGGATATTCGTAGGTCACCAGTATTCGATCATAGGTGTCTTCGAAGCAATGCTCGTATATCCTGGGACCACCGAATAAGTAACTCAGTTGTTAGGAAACGGGTACTAGGTAAGGATGGCAAATCAATTGATGAAGTAGTAAAACTTCATCAGTTGAGATGGCTGGGACACGTGTCACGTATGCCTAACCACTGGCTGCCCCGACGTGCGATGTTTTATGGTGTAGGAGTGGGTTAGAAGAAAGCTAGGGGCTGCTAGACCAAAACATGGCACAAATCCACGAAGTCACTTACAAGTGGACTGAGCCATGTTGTTATGTGTAGACTACCTGGTTGGGATCCGCGAGACGATAGTAACCGATGGTTAGAGACCTTGAATGACATGGCTCAAAATCGTTTGCAATGGCGCAGTTGCATCCACTCTTTGTGTTCTCTTAAATTCTAATCTTCTGAATTCTTCATGTCCCTTTTTTTCACTGGTTTATACTCCTTGAATAACATCTTCGAACCCTAATCTTTCCGATTACTGCTTATAGTCTTACTATCTCTTCCACTATGGGATTTGAATCGACAAATGTATCTCTGTACTAATGTGGTATGGCAACTTGAACTGATGTAAGTACGTGCGAAGTTCTACGTAGTTGCTGACCTACTGTTTGAATGGTGACTAAGTAATTATTTACCCCCACTCCTTTTTAATGGACAATACTTTACTAATATGGCACTGCTACATTTAGCATATATTATTGTAGATATGGTATATTGATAAGTTGCTTCATAGAATTTCTGCAGTTAGTAACATTTGGTTCATATCCAAAGTAAATAGTGTGTATTGACAAAGTCGACTATCGAAATAGTGTAACCCTCAGAACTTACATAAAATATTCCCACTAAAATGGACGATATAATATTACAGAGGATTATGTTTTGTATTGAGGGCTAAAGACAATCGGCGTAACTCGGTTACATGTCTGGTATATAATTATTTTACCGGGGATTTATGTTGTCAATATCTCCATGACAACTTTACCTGAAAATAGTGCAGAAAAGTAAGGTATCCTCAGTACCCTTATTTTGTTTTTGGACTGCTCTGTAACTCAGAAAACTTGTAGGAATATATTCTATTCCTAAGCAAATTCTACATTTTCACATGGTTTCTTCAAAAATGTGTTTTTTTCACAGCAATTTTTCAAACTACTTGATCCACATAACTCAGTAAAGGCGTATGAAAATGCTTTTGAACAATACCCAGATCATGGGACGGATAATGGTACGTATCAAATTTTAAACCTCTGTATCCTGTTCTTATTTAAAAACCATTTTGCCTCACTAATCGCCCACTAACATATGCCTATTACCTCTAGTGGTACATAGGTCGCCGACTAACTCTGTCCTGGGCTCTCCTTCCCATTTGTTTCCAACTGCTATTCATTCCTTTGATGTCTACATTAAATTCCCGACGCAATGTGTTCGTTGTTCCTCCTCTTTTCCTTTTGTCTTCAGGATTCCAAGTTAGGACTAGCCTCGTGATACAGTTTGATGAATTCCGCAATGTATGTCATACCCACCTCCAGCGTCCTTTCTTAATTTCCTCTTCACCTGGAAGTTATTTTGTTCTCTACCACAGTAGGTTTATGCTGAGCCCCCAAATGCCCTGGTACGGCCGAGAGTGGGGAGAGTCCGCTCTCCCTCTCGAAATGCTCTCACATGGCCATGCGTATATAGCCTCTGCCAGGGAAGTCCTACTCACTGCCTTCTCGTGGCGGGGGTGTTGTTTACAAAAATGAGAGGACGAAAAGCGAATGTCTGGCGCTTTAACCGGACCCCAAACCAATGGTGCACATGGGCTCCAGTATCCTGAGGGAACAAATGGCGTATGAACCAATCGTTGGTCACCGGCTACCATGGGACTGCATCTCCTCACGATGCTCCACTGCCTTGTGGGTCAAACGTTCAGGTCAAAGGCTCGGGTGTGGCCCCCTAAGAAAACCACCTGCTTTGGTTTGGGCACCTGGGCAGTATCACAGCCCTCACACAAATCAATTGAGATTTGTGTGGCGCATATGTATTTGGTGCCTCCCTGTACCTATACTTATGTGTTAAAATAAAAATAAAAATAAAAAAGGTTTATGCTGATGGTATCTGTCCAGTGAATGTGGAGTATCTGTTTATAAATACTTGTACTCTTTTTATGATGGTTGTAGTAGTTCTCCACGTTTCAGTTCAGTACAATAAAACTGTCTTTGCGTTCTGACTTTGATGTTGGCTGACAGTTGTTTCGAGTCTGAGATGTTCTTCAATTGCAGGAGTGCTATCTTTGCTTTGCCAATCTGTGCCTTCCCATGTGCATCACATCCTCCTTGTTAATCGATGATGCTACCCAGTTACATATAATGTTCCACCTCTTCCAGAGCTTCTCCATCAAGTGTGATTGGGTTGGTGCTCGTTGTGTTATATTAAGGGATCTTGCTTAATTGCTTATATATGTTGGGGCCTACTGCTATAGAGGCTGCTGCTACGCTGGCTGTCTTTACCTGTGTTTGTTGGCGTGTATATGATAGAGGAGCTAGGTCATCAACGAAGTCCAAATCGTCTGTTTGCATCCAAGCTGTCAATTTTATCCCGTACCTCCCCTCAGATGTGGAGGTCTTCATAATGCATTCAACCATAAGAAGGAGGGGACAGGGGCATAGTAAGCAGCCTTGTCCGATCTCAGCTCCCACTTAGAATGCATCTGTCAGATGTCCTCCATGCACGACTTTGTAGTGTAGTCCGTCGTACTAATTGCCGGTGATGTTGACGATTTTCTCAGGTACTCCATAGTGTCGAAGAAGTTTCCATAATGTTGTCCTATCCACCCTGTCAAATGCTTTCTTACAATCAAGGAAGTTGATGTATAATGACGAGTTCCATTCAATTGATTATTCATCAATGGTCCGTGATGTCGTAATTTGATCTGTGCACAACCGATCCTTACGGAATCCGGCCCGTTGATCTCTGGAAGTTGGGTGTCTACTGAATCCTTCATCTGGTTCAGCAACGCTGTTGAAAATTATTCCTGGTACCGATAGAGGTGTGATGCTTCTGTAGTTTTCACATTTGCTCAGATCTCTTTTCTTTCCAGTCCGTTGGCACTTGTTCTTCCTTCCAAATCCTTCTGAACAAGGAGTTACCTCTATGTCTAACTTCAGTGCCTCAGCTGATAAGTTGTCAGGCCATGCTGCTTTCCCACTCTTGATTTGTCTGATGGCCATCCTGATTTCTTCGACTGTTGGTGGAGTGATATCTATTGAAAGGTCTTTGTGTGCTGCTTCGATACCTGGTGGATTCAATGGAGTTGGTCTGCTCAAGAGTTCCTCGAAGTATTCCACTCATCTGTTCCTGTATTGTTGAATCCCAGTGGTTAGCTTGACTTCTTCGTCCTTGACTGTTCTCTCTGATCCTCCACATTCCCCTGCTAGTTTCTTCGTTGTTTCATATTTCTTAATCTTGGATCTTTTTCCACCGTTCTTGCTAAATGTTTTATCTATTAAAGCTGTCATTTCTAATGGTTCTCTTCACTTTTCTATTTGCTTCTGTCTACTCGGCCTGTGCCATGGCCTTCTCTGCTCTTGTTCGACTGTTTTTAATTGCTGTTTTTTGTCCAGGTTCTCGACAGAGGTTCATTCTTAATGATGGTGTTTCTTGCGGGTCAGCAACTCCTGGCACATTGAAGTTAGTGTTAGTGTCGCCTATAACCATGTTGTTGAACACACATAGATCTAGACCTGACGCAGAAATTAAAAACAGTCTGGTTTTCTTCTAGTTCATGTCTTCTGTTTTAACCGCATTTACGTAATAAACTTCTGTTTTTGTACTGTGGTCTATGAAACTATTCTAAGTGTCTTAGTGAGAATTAATTTTCTTACTTAAAGCAGTGATCAGTTTAGTTTTGACTTTTATGGAATCGCGCTTCTGCTCAAAGTTCAACGTCATATAAATTTTTTAGAAGTCATTACAGTTTATCATAATTTACTAACTTACGTTGTTCTAAATTCCTATGCGACTGTTTGAGTAATCATGTTTCCAGTTTTTGCAGCTAAGCGTTTTTTTCTATAACTGATATCGACTTCAATAAATTTCACTCTCTTTTTTACATGAAGATCGAAATTCGGCCTTATCAATTATGTTTCAAATGAAACGTTATGATCAAGCTCTAAAGGTAAACCTAGCATTGCCTTGATAAATCATATATATTTACAATCGAACCTTATTTGTTTTAATTTTACAGATAGTCGATGTGATTTTGAGATAGAATTTTGATACTTCGTAGTCAATGGTGTCGTGTATCTCGCCTTCCACAACGTAGATTTACATACTCGCGGAAACTGAAGAAAGTTTAGCTTATGTTACTCAACCCTATAATCAAAATTTTTAGCATGAAACAGCACCACTGCCCTTTAATATCAATTTACTTAGCGTTGAATTTCACCTAAGAAATTGGTTTGCTAAGATGATAGAACAGAATAAGTTAATTAGTCAGGGTTCACGTTGACACTGATCAAATGTTCCAGTTAGTAAACAAGTAGCTTATATTATCATTGTAGATCTTTTGGGATTTTCGGTAAATTTCTTGACGAAAGAAGTTGAAGGCAAAAACACTTATGCGTTTTATCAATTAAATATTTTCTGCAGCGTCTCATGAATATGTGGAACTGGTTAGTTGGTTCTAGAAAATCGTTCAGTAAATCATGGGTATACGTCCATATTTACGAATATGATGGAATGTGGAATCATTTCGAAATAATTCTGTTAGATATCCATAATTCGTTTGGATATGAATATGCTACAATTTTAGCGCTATTTTGGTTTAAAAAGGCATACCGTAGCAAAGCGTAAAATTCTTATTTAGTATCAGTCAACTCGACGTTTGTTCGGTCAGTTGATCTTCTTTAACCTTTAATGACCTATCGATTGAGTGTGACGGTTTTTTCTGTTCATTACTTCAATTTTGATTAGTCTTGTAATTTATTTTTATTGCACCTATGTTCTTTTATATACTCAAAACAATTGCGTGTTTCTATTTATCAATGTGGTCACTTACTAGCAAATGTTCACTTCTGAATGAAGCAGCTGTTTATACACCTGAGATGCCGCAACAAGCCACTGTTTGACAAACTCCCATTCAAAGGAGATGATGTTAGTGTTCAGAATTAACGTTGACTTAAGCTCAGAATTACACTGACTTGTTCAGTTGCTGACGTAGTTATCATATACTTAACAAAATAGCTAGTCAGAGAAACTAACATAGACCTTCGCTAATTACAACCAGTCATATCTACCTTTCCACCTGTACCTGCATCAGCACGTAGGTAGGATATTATTTAGAATGGAACATCCCGAAGAACTTAACCTTAAATTGCTCCAAACTACCTAGTAGTACCATAGAAAGACATTTTAGACACTGGTTATTCAGTAAACCCTTATACTACTGTCTTCTAAGTGATAAACAGGCAAAATAATGGTAGACTATCACTCTACTCAGAAACAACCACCATTCGTCGTCTCTACTTCAATTTGTGTTTGAAAAAGCCTGTGGTTCACCTAAGATTCATGGTGACCATTTAAATGATATCCTACCTTGTCTTCAGTCGTTCTCGTCTTCAAAATATAAAATCCGATTTTTTTTAGCCTGATCTTTATTCCTAATTTACTGCCATTACAACTAGTCTTATTATTTCAACATTTTTCAGTGGAATGTTCGAATCCTTCTCTATTTAACCTTCTATCCTCTCCATTATAACTAGTGCCCTTCTACCCTATCAGTATATAAGGTAACGATACAGCCAATGAGAGAACAGTGACTTATTGACCGGATCAATGATGAATAAACCCGTACGAGCAGTCTAGAGTCCTTATCGGTCCTTCCTGTCTAGCCCTGCCTATCAAGTCCAGAACACCAATCTCAGCCTCTGCGATATGAATCATGTATTTCAAGCATACTGCGTTTCAATAGTTGAGATCATGAGTCCATTGAAGCTAGACCACCATGGAAAACTTAGAAGCATTGGACGGCCGTTTCGTCCCATTGTGAGACCCCTCAGCAGTGTGCGTCCACGACCTCGCCTCGAACCCAGGACCTATCAGTCTCACGCCAGGGGCTTAACCAACTAGACCACTGAGCTGGCATCACATCGTATCATAAAATAGAAAATAACATTTGTGCAAGATATAACCAAAAATGGTTGAGAATGTGGTAGGCAGTAATTAATAGACTGGACAGAACTCAAGAACGGTAAATCGTATAACAATAGTCTATGCGTCAAAATAAAGCTTTTAATAAGAGGAACATGAATGTGCATAGTTTATCTACTTAATAATTATACCATAAAAGTATATGTGTCGTATTCGTCCATAAATAATTCTCAGAAGTTACCATTCGTAATTCCCGTCGGGATATAACACTCCTATCCTCTGCAGCTATTGTTATCAGTATTAGTGTTATTATCATCACTATGGTGAGTGCTTTAAAATTATTTCTTGTTAATTACTGTCATTTTTATCATTCTGTCTATCGTAATCATAACAGTTTGCATATATTTCTTATACTCCATTACATTGTATCCTTTCCCTCCCTTAATCCATTTCATCCGTCCTACGATGTTTGTTGTTGTTACTTTACAAAAATTTACCAAAAGAACTAATTGCATAATATTGTAGTGTGAGTTTTGTGAACTCGCATAGATAAACAAAGGTCTTTTATATCTTATTAATTTAGTTGTTTTTTCTGTAATCAGTTACATTGTGTTACTATATCTGTAAATACTTTAATAAACTTTTGAGTTCTTTAACGATAAATTTAAAAATATTTTTCATTGTTGAAAATTATAGTTTTTCACTTCCTTCTGTGGTGTCAAATTGTATTTAAATTCTGGGGATTTATTTGACATGGACAGACATTCATCGAAGTTGTCATCTGTGGAGAAATTTAAAAGGTAAATTGACCTATCACTGGTTATTTCTTCTCGTATATAATTTATCTATTTATTTGCTTATCTAGATGTGAATTCCCTGATAATATGGCTGTTGAATTACAGTTGAAATTGTTTCTTATTCTTGCACACCTGGGACTTGGCCCATTAGTTATGGTGAGTTGATACGTTGTATTTCTCTAATATTCTTTGTTTGAACACAACTGCTCAAAAGTTCTGAATAGATTATGTACATTATAAAAACATCCACAAGCCATTTCAATGGCGTAAAAGTTAAATAAAAGTGATTATTATTTATGGTTTTTAAAAATTCACTAAGATGTCATAAAAGTAATTTCTGTTATGACTAAATGCTATTTTAAAAATCCTTCGAACCATCATTTAGTGCTAAGTAGGTTAATCTTACTAAACTACAGATTATTTTAATTTAGAAAATACTGACAGGTACCAGTGACATCTTGATATTTAGCACTACTCGTGCTACATGACAGGTGTACTCATGGACGTCATGTAATGAAATACTAACACCGATTATTGAAACAGTAAGATGGTTGATTAGTTTTTGACACAACGTCCAACTACTACACCACAAGTTTGGACTCAGCTTCATATATTGAGATTTGGTGTCCCGAAATGTATCACCCATAGATGTTTGACTCAAAACTGAGTACGTAAACCTGTACTGGATTATTGAGTGACATTATTTAGTTAATTTTATTATTCACTTGTCGGGACCATTTTTTATCTTTGTTCAACCCCAGCTTTAAATATTCTTTTTATTTATTTCATATAGTCCCGTGTTGAATCAACGTACACAAATGAAAATATTACAAAATATTCTAATTGGCTTTTGGATATCGTCGTAGCTTACAAAGAGAAAAATTTATACTCCATAGCGATTCAGCTAATTCTAAAACTCAAAAAATCAAATGTTACCTGTAAGGTAGTTGTGTCGTTTCCACCTTCGTTAATTTGACATCATCACGATTACTGTAACTAGCGTACCGTATCCAGTTTTATGATTTTTGGAGCTGATTTTGTCAGGATAAAATCAACTGTATATCGGTGGTTTTGTAGATTTATTCTCTGTAGAGGATCTCTAGGTATCTGTTTTCTTGAAGTTGTGTTCAAATAGTACCATGCTTATAATAATGAGGTAGATTTAGATATTATCTGCGTTAAGCAGGACCAACCGTATTCCTAAATATGTATGGTTTTTAACATTTTTTCATTTCATCTTTCTTGAGCAATGATGAAAATCGAGTGATAAATCAATTTACTAGATTCGTCTACGATGAGTTCACTTCTTCACTTGAGTTAAATACTTCACCACGTAACTAGAACGGGTAATTTACCCTTTCCTCACATGAAAAATGGTTTCAAAAATTTTAATTAACAAATATAAATTTTATTCAGTAGTCTAGATTTTGAAGATGCAGTTTATTCATGTAATGGATTCGAAGTAATCTAAACAATTTTTCTTAATCTTCCTACACCAATTTTCAAATTCGTTAAATCAAATCTAAGAAGCACGACATGTACTTAGGCTCCTTTAAATGTAGGCTGCATTGTGTTACTAATGTTGAATCAGAGTAATCTACGCCTCTATTAGCATACAATAAATATTGTATAGGTTTGATCAGTCATTAATCAGACAACCGAATCTAAAGTAACTTATACTTAATTTTAATTTGTTTGCAGGGAAAAGTGTGTATTTTTAGCATGAAGTTTCAACTTTTCCATCTATTGTCTACCATGAGTTTTCCCTAGCTATATCCGATTCCAATTCTAGTTAAAATTTCGTAAGGCTTTGTTAATTTCAGATTTGTCATCATTATTATTTGTGCGTATTGTTATGAATTCAAACATCCTTTTGTTAAATGTAGATCTATTTTAAAATTGTACTGTGGAAATTGATGTACGAGAATTAAAGACAATGTGTGAACGAAAATGCCGTGTTATGGATAAGTCAGCTTTCTGAAGATATAGATCTGTTAGGTTCGTTGGGAGTTAAGTCATTAAATGGGCTAAAATGGAGCTGTTATCCGTTTTAACTACACATTTGCATAACCGCGCTGGAAGGTTCTCTCGAGCCCGAATATACAAATTCCTGGAACATCCGCAAATATAACTTTCTCCACAGAAGCAGTTGAATTGATAGATACAGAAAAAAGTGGCTAGTCTAGGTCATTTATCTTTTAACCTTGGAGCGACCATTGGACGTGTGGAAAACGGTAATTGTAGTTCTCTAGCTACGTATCAATCTGCTTCTTAGATCTTCGGATTGCTTCGGTAATTTTAGGGAAGTTACCATTCCATACTTTTGTTTTAATTTTATTTATTTCTACCAGTTGGTACAAGTTTGGACATTACTGGCTGAATGTTATTTAGAAGCAGGTGAAACAGAAAGTGCCATCAAAGCCTATCTCCATGTCATAGAAAATCTTGATCCTCGGAATACCGGTGCACGTCTGGGTCTCGTAAATCTTCTTAGACGCCTTGGTAGGAATCAGGAGGCTTTAAAAGTAAGTTTTGAGATATGTTTATTCACAGATTGTGTAAATGAATGTCTTCAATTTTATATTAAATGGTTATTAATTTAATTACGCCTGTTACCTCTATTGGTACATAGGTCGCCGACTAACTCTGTCCTGGGCTCTCCTTCCCATTTGTTTCCAACTGCTATTCATTCCTTTGATGTCTACATTAAATTCCCGACGCAATGTGTTCGTTGTTCCTCCTCTTTTCCTTTTGTCTTCAGGATTCCAAGTTAGGACTAGCCTCGTGATACAGTTTGATGAATTCCGCAATGTATGTCATACCCACCTCCAGCGTCCTTTCTTAATTTCCTCTTCACCTGGAAGTTATTTTGTTCTCTACCACAGTAGGTTTATGCTGAGCCCCCAAATGCCCTGGTACGGCCGAGAGTGGGGAGAGTCCGCTCTCCCTCTCGAAATGCTCTCACATGGCCATGCGTATATAGCCTCTGCCAGGGAAGTCCTACTCACTGCCTTCTCGTGGCGGGGGTGTTGTTTACAAAAATGAGAGGACGAAAAGCGAATGTCTGGCGCTTTAACCGGACCCCAAACCAATGGTGCACATGGGCTCCAGTATCCTGAGGGAACAAATGGCGTATGAACCAATCGTTGGTCACCGGCTACCATGGGACTGCATCTCCTCACGATGCTCCACTGCCTTGTGGGTCAAACGTTCAGGTCAAAGGCTCGGGGTGTGGCCCCCTAAGAAAACCACCTGCTTTGGTTTGGGCACCTGGGCAGTATCACAGCCCTCACACAAATCAATTGAGATTTGTGTGGCGCATATGTATTTGGTGCCTCCCTGTACCTATACTTATGTGTTAAAATAAAAATAAAAATAAAAAAGGTTTATGCTGATGGTATCTGTCCAGTGAATGTGGAGTATCTGTTTATAAATACTTGTACTCTTTTTATGATGGTTGTAGTAGTTCTCCACGTTTCAGTTCAGTACAATAAAACTGTCTTTGCGTTCTGACTTTGATGTTGGCTGACAGTTGTTTCGAGTCTGAGATGTTCTTCAATTGCAGGAGTGCTATCTTTGCTTTGCCAATCTGTGCCTTCCCATGTGCATCACATCCTCCTTGTTAATCGATGATGCTACCCAGTTACATATAATGTTCCACCTCTTCCAGAGCTTCTCCATCAAGTGTGATTGGGTTGGTGCTCGTTGTGTTATATTAAGGGATCTTGCTTAATTGCTTATATATGTTGGGGCCTACTGCTATAGAGGCTGCTGCTACGCTGGCTGTCTTTACCTGTGTTTGTTGGCGTGTATATGATAGAGGAGCTAGGTCATCAACGAAGTCCAAATCGTCTGTTTGCATCCAAGCTGTCAATTTTATCCCGTACCTCCCCTCAGATGTGGAGGTCTTCATAATGCATTCAACCATAAGAAGGAGGGGACAGGGGCATAGTAAGCAGCCTTGTCCGATCTCAGCTCCCACTTAGAATGCATCTGTCAGATGTCCTCCATGCACGACTTTGTAGTGTAGTCCGTCGTACTAATTGCCGGTGATGTTGACGATTTTCTCAGGTACTCCATAGTGTCGAAGAAGTTTCCATAATGTTGTCCTATCCACCCTGTCAAATGCTTTCTTACAATCAAGGAAGTTGATGTATAATGACGAGTTCCATTCAATTGATTATTCATCAATGGTCCGTGATGTCGTAATTTGATCTGTGCACAACCGATCCTTACGGAATCCGGCCCGTTGATCTCTGGAAGTTGGGTGTCTACTGAATCCTTCATCTGGTTCAGCAACGCTGTTGAAAATTATTCCTGGTACCGATAGAGGTGTGATGCTTCTGTAGTTTTCACATTTGCTCAGATCTCTTTTCTTTCCAGTCCGTTGGCACTTGTTCTTCCTTCCAAATCCTTCTGAACAAGGAGTTACCTCTATGTCTAACTTCAGTGCCTCAGCTGATAAGTTGTCAGGCCATGCTGCTTTCCCACTCTTGATTTGTCTGATGGCCATCCTGATTTCTTCGACTGTTGGTGGAGTGATATCTATTGAAAGGTCTTTGTGTGCTGCTTCGATACCTGGTGGATTCAATGGAGTTGGTCTGCTCAAGAGTTCCTCGAAGTATTCCACTCATCTGTTCCTGTATTGTTGAATCCCAGTGGTTAGCTTGACTTCTTCGTCCTTGACTGTTCTCTCTGATCCTCCACATTCCCCTGCTAGTTTCTTCGTTGTTTCATATTTCTTAATCTTGGATCTTTTTCCACCGTTCTTGCTAAATGTTTTATCTATTAAAGCTGTCATTTCTAATGGTTCTCTTCACTTTTCTATTTGCTTCTGTCTACTCGGCCTGTGCCATGGCCTTCTCTGCTCTTGTTCGACTGTTTTTAATTGCTGTTTTTTGTCCAGGTTCTCGACAGAGGTTCATTCTTAATGATGGTGTTTCTTGCGGGTCAGCAACTCCTGGCACATTGAAGTTAGTGTTAGTGTCGCCTATAACCATGTTGTTGAACACACATAGATCTACAAGTCTTTCACTATTTTTGTTTCTTTCTCTCATTGCATGTTGTCTCATGATGTCTTCGTACTTGGTGTTGTTCATACTGACCATGACATCGAGGTCCTCCATCAATACGGTCATGTCTTTTCCTGGCAACCTCCCATAACAGTGATGTTTATCCACTTCTTCACTATTATTGGTGATAACCTACATTGTGATCCCCTCCTTCTTTGTTCTGTAGAATGATTTGATGATTTTCGATCCATGAGATTCCCACCCTGTAAGTGCTTTCGATGTTTCTTCGGATAGCATCAGTGCAATTCTTTGTGTGCGGGAGGCATTCTCTTCATGATCAGATTTCAACAATACCTCTCCCGGAGCCAATGGTTTTCACTCATTCCAAGTAGAGACAGACGGGATTTCCTCATTTCTGCAGCTATCTGACTGTTCTTCATGGACTCTCACACTGCCCTAGCATTTCATTTATTGTGTTTAAGCCTCTTCAATTACCATATGACATAGTCGATAATCAGAACACTGACTTACATGACCTTGGCTCCGTGTCAAATCAGTGACGCGTTAATCATTTTCAGCAACCTTAAGTTTACTCTTGGTCATTATTGGTTCTCACCTCCCCCTGTCCGTTTGACTCGAGAGCACAATCTCAGTTTCCACTGTATGAATCATATATTTCAGACATACCTAATTTATATACAGGGAAATCAGATATCATCGTACCATAAAATAGTAAATAACAATTATACAAAATCAATCCAAAAGTGGCAGTGAGTGTGAGAGACTGTAATTAATAGACTGGAAACAACTTAGGAATACTATATCTATAATAGTCGCCAATAGGTCAAACGAAAACTTACAATAAGAATATATTTAATAACAGTCCATAATTAGTTCTAGAAGTTACTTATAATTTAGTCTTCGGCCACAAGATCATGTACCTAACGTAATTATTGCTCCAGTTGTTAGAAGGGGCATCGGCCTCGTGATATCCAAAGGATCTCAGCTTTTACCATAAGGCGTCATAATTCTTCTAAATAAAGATCGTTCAACTACCAGGTTAAGGTTTTTAGCAAGGTTGTTTTCTACCCTCCTTTTTTATCCAGACCTTGGAGCGACATTTACTCGCAAGGGGTTTGAGACTATTGAGTTATATCTTTACTTATTTGTAAATGCATTTTTTGTTTTTGAAATGTGCATCTGTTAGTTTTTCACTTACGTTGTCTTTATCGAATCTCTGAATCTTTAAGAAATGGGATTTTTGGTGATGATATGTTAATGTTTATTATTTCTGGTTATAATATCAATTTTATCTTTTTTGCTTCTCTGAAATTTTAGTTCTTAAATCCCTCAAATTTAGTTCAGAAAGGTGTTAAACCCGAAATATCTTTGACCGAACAGTGTGATTTAATTGTACAGAAAAGAGAAAGATCTCCATTGAAATCCATTCACAGATCAACTGTTAAATCATCTGCTTCTTCTGACTTACAAAAAATTTCAGTTGTTGGTGACATCGATAGTGATGAATGTTCTGTTGAGAAAGTTTGTCTAGATAGTGACTGGCTCGATGCATCTGCTAACCTTGTCTCCCGTGATCATGTGGCATACAGATTAGCCTACGAACGTTGTCGAATGCTTGATACACCAGAAAGTGTAGATTCATTTTTAGAAGAAGCTTGGGCCTTGCTGTTTAGTGATGTGACACGTGTTTGCGGACCTAGATTTACTCAACGTAAGTAGATTTTTTATTGAATCAATATCCTATTCCCCATATTTTTACTTGTAAATGTCATTTGTTAAAATCAGTTGTATTACAAAATTTAACAGATTTCTCTTTTCACTTTTATCATTGATCCAGTTCAAGAACTATCCTGTTTTCTGTATGTTATATATCGCGATGAGATTGAAATGTATACAGTTTATCATAATATTAAAAGTAATTATTATCTTATGTTTTATCATTCAAGAAATAATGAGGACGGAATTAATAAATACGACAAATTGAAGTGCAGGCTATGGGTAATAATTAATATTGTTATACCGCGCTGTGTAAGGTTTGCTTATGAGATGCCGGTACTTTTTGTTACCTGTACATATTCCACCATTATCAACAAATTAAGATATATTCTGTGTATAAGTAACAACAAAAAATGACCACTTATTTTGATTTTTCTACATTTATCTGTGCAACAACACTGTCTTAATAACTAATAAGCAAACCGCTTTATCTATTTTCATCGAAACATTCACACAGTTTATGGACTACAGAGATAATAATTGCTCTCAGATCATTTAAAATTGAGTTTATGTAAATATGTATAAAATCTAATAAGGATAATGTTAGTGGTGAATAATTTTATTTTGTTTATCTTTCCTTACCTTCTTTCTGAAGTTGCCTTAACACTTGATAGTGAACAGCATCGAAAATTAGTGATTGACCGACTAGCTTCTGTTGCTCCAGCATTGACTGATACATTATCTAACCAGATAGACGCTGAACGTTCGACTACAGAAACAAATGGTGTAAGCAGCTCAGATATTTGGGGATTATTTTTGCGTGTTGTTGATGTGTTACGTGCTCGTTTGCCAAAATCATTGCCCCAATTGGAAACAGCTACTGCATGGGCTTCTTTATTACCTCATGTTCAAGGCAATGATTTACGTCGGTTAGCTGCAAGTCATCTTTTAATTAGCTCTTCACTTATTGCACGTCATGGCACACCAGCATTTTTGGAATTACGAAAAATTCAAAAACAGGTCAGTTATAATATATATCACGCTATGTAATTGTCTAAAACGTATATTTTGCAGCATTTCCCTGTTTAGAACATATTCATTAGCGATGGTAGGAAGTATTCTCAGTGAGGATAATCTGCATGAAAAATAAAGAATGTACGATTTAGGAAATCAATAATTAAACTATCTGAAATAATGTAAATTAATACTTCGAAAAACCTTAACTAGCGATCTAAACGTTACTGACCTGTTACTCTACCGTTTGATTTACGAGATTAGATCGCTAATCATTTCCAAGCTGTTGTTTTGAGCGATAGCCATTAAGTACAACATTTTATAGCCAAAATAAGATCTAAATATCATTAGATATCAGCTGATAATCTTTATACTCTCGTTTCCAATGTTTCTACAATTCAGGCTTTTCGAAATTCAGTCATCATCAAATCCTAGTCTTTCAATGCCGTATGGAGAAGCAATAAGTTTTAAAGCCTTGTCAGCTATTATTTATTTGTTTAAACACATAAACATTGGATCAAGTTGGAACCAAACTATATGTGCGCCGCACAATAAAGATGAGGTTGCAAAGAGATGGAGAAAGGAAGGTGAATATAATAAAAAAGAACAGAAATGAATAGAAACTACTGTATGGTGGTGAAGTAATAATAATGATATTAATGGTTGAAACAGTTCATTCAGGAGAGATACAACCAAAAAGAATTCTTTCAGTTAAAGAGGTTACTTTCACTTCCATAAAGAAAGTAGAAAAAGTTACACCAGGATCGCCACTGGCTTCTATCCTGAGCCGATTCTGTTAGTGTCTCAGGCCATTGTATTACACCATCTATAGGACCCCAAACACAGAAAGTCGTTTAATATTCTTAGTTCGAAGAGGCCAGGTTTCACAAGCATAGAACATAATTGCTCTCACTGACCTTTTACATGCGGTCTAACATCACGAATGCTCCAAAGATGGCCCAAATTGGTATAGGCCGCTTTGGCTTTCACTATACACCCGCACCAGCACTTACTCATTTATTCAGATACACGAACTTCTCAACTGCCTTTATCTGCTTTCTACCTAGGGCGCCTTCAGGATCAGGATCCTAACAGTCTTGTAAAAGTACTTTTCACTTGGAAGGTGCAAAGAACATACCATACCTACTGGCAATGATTGCCAACTGACTATATGCGGATTGCATGATTTGGGAATCACCACACAGTAAGACAACATCATGCTCATACTGAAGGTCGAAAATTCTTTCTCCCTGCAATAGGTCCACACCACCATTACCTACGTCCATCAGAGCTATTTCCAGAATGTCATCAGTAGCGAAGTTGAAGAGGAATGATAAGATTGGGCAACCCTGCATAACCCCATTGCTTGAATGAAACAATGAAGACAGGTGTTTGTGTATAGAGCTTTCAAGATTTTAATAAACTTCTCAGACGCACCCTTCTTCCATAGACTCCTAGAAAACAGTCCTATCCAACGAATCGAAATAGAGTATAAATGAAATGTGTATAGTGACAAACTTGTAATCATCCTGTTGATTTAAAAACTTTACATATTAAAAAGAATATGAACTGTAGTTAACTGTAATAAATGACTTTCTTTTTTTTCTAGCGAACTTTTATTGGTTAGAATAATCAATGATAACACAGAATGAAGTAAATCACTATCAAAATATCAACATTTTCGCTAGTATCAGCAGATCTAGGATGCAGGTATATATAAGTGTCGAGTCCCGGTTAGGATGAAAGATATGTCCTGGGCTTCATTGCCACCCATCATCTATCTCTGCTTAAAATAACTTGATGCATGTATTTTTCAAACTGATGATCAACAAACTGTAGTTCATTCACCCACACGAATGTTTTATTCACAGTATTTTGCTGTGTAACCGAAGCCTACTTATTTTCTTTTAACTATTCTACAAAGACTCCCAACATTTTAGGCTTACAGTACCATTGATATTTGATGAAGGCTATAATTTACGACTTTTCCATTACTTGGGATACCGAAACAATGCACACATGTTGAAATAAGTATGATTCAGTAACGTATGATGATTATAATTCCGGCATGTTTGTATTTATCTATTTTATCGTCAAACTTGAAATGAATTCTGAAATCAGTGATATTTGTTCACGAGTTTTACATAAATTTAATTCTATTCCAGTGGAGTGAATATAACCAGTATTGGAATGTGATGAATCTGGCAATCACTCTTTCACGTGATTTTAAACACTGTAGATTTTTGGATCGTTTGGTTACTAAAGTAGGTTTTTTATAAATCAATCTGGTGTTCAATTGACTTGCTACGCATTAACCATACTGGACTTGCATAATAAATGATATCTTAATTGCTTATCATTTTATCGAAATTCAATTAACGGAATAATTTATCCTATATATTTTATTAGAAATACAAACAAAACTTAGTGTTATGTCTCAATATCAATTATATGAAATTATAGACTGGAAAGTTTATTATCAAAATTTACTGACCGTTTCACAGTTTCGCTGTATTTTAGATTACGTTGGTTTGCATCTTTGAGGCACACAAGTGTATTCACAGTAAGGTAGGCTTATCTCACAGGATTTACTACTAAATGTCGACAAGATTTCAACGTTATTATCTTCGCATTTTAATGTTCTTTTATCTATTTTATGACTGTATCCCAACACTAAGATTCATATAATTTGATCAAGAGTAAGTACTGGATGATTACACCATAAACTGAATAATATGTATGTGTGAGACAAGATACACTACTACTACTAATATTACTCTCTTGAGTGCGGTTTGAATTTTTTCGTCATATAAATTTATTGTTCTATGCTTTTCAGGATAGTTTGAATTTGGCTATCGGTACTATTGCTAGTAGTGACACTTTGGTTCGAGGTTCATATCGTTATGCTATTGGCAAGTCTTCTTATTCGATTATTTCCATTACGCGATCGACTTTCATTGTTATTTTTTGCTTTCTTTGTTGATTTTATGGCGTTATTTCCTTACTGATTGTCTTCATTAAAGAATCGATAGTCATTAGTCGATTCAACAGCAGATAGTTTTATCAATATAGGGTTGTGGAAATTGTTGTTCTTTGATTGAGATCATCGCGGGAGACCGAAAGTGCTGGGTTCGAACCCCGTGTATGGGTACTGCTCTGGAGTCCCCACACTAAGACGAAACGACCGTTCAGTGCTTCCAGGTTTCTAGTGGTGGTCTAACATTGATCGGCTCGTGATCTTAACTAGAACCAATAGTTCGTTTAAGTAAACTATCTTTCGCTCGTTTTTTGTAGTCGAAAATCGGAAAAATGAGTAGGTGTAAGTTATCTATGTGAAGCAGTATAACGCGAAATAACGTACCATTATCCATGACTTAGTGATTTAGTATGTTATTGTAGATGCATTTAGATACAAAATTGAGAAAAGTTACCCAGTGCTTCGTCGTTTTAGACTTAATTCTATGACTAATAACTCAGATATAATTAACGTATAACCTGACAGAAATGTGCATTAGTCCAAGTTGCCACATCACATCTATATAGCGAGATGAAATTTGCAAGATTCGTACTAAACGAGTCGAAATAATAGTTAATTCAATTACATCCCGATTACTCAATGATTCTTAATCACTAAGTTTATCAAACAGAGTTGCTGTCACTGCACAAAATCACAGAGAACTTCTGAACACAACTAAGATCAAATAAAGCAACTAACTTCATACTGAATAGATCGATACAAGCGAAAACATTCTTAATCAGTGAATAAAGTTTATTTTAAACCAATATGTATATTTTAAAATTGATGTCTTTCCAGATGTAGTATTCATCATCCTTAACGGATATTCAAACTCTAGTTCCATCGAAACATCTTCAGCCATTGATCACGATTATTGCTTGTAACCCAACCAGTTAGTCTACACCTCACACAGCTCAGACCAACAGTCAGTGACTACATGAACTAATACTGTTTCTTAGTTTAGCTGCTTCCACACATCACATCATTCTGGGTCGAGTTTGGAGGTGGTTAAACTAGTACATATCCAAGTCGATTGATCTGATGAAGATTCACAGCTTTAATAAAAGAACAACGTATTATTTATTGTCGTAACTACTTCTACTTACTTCGATTCATTTATTCTATCAATGTCTCTCTGACTAGATGTGCTAGTTTGTCAAGTATTATTTGTAATAATCAGATATATTGTTACTAAGTCATGATCGATGACAATAATCTCATAAGCTTTTTTTTCCTGAAGTCTAACATTCATCACATAAATATTCTGTAATGTTGGGTGTATATCATTTTTCAAAATAATGTTCGAATCAGTAATTGCGTAAAGCTTTATTCGTTGTTTACAAACCACACATAACTTATTTGCTAATCACGCTGCTTAGGTGCAATGGAATCCAAATTCATAAACTACTTAGTTTTGGAGTAATTTCACACGGATAAACTTTGTATATTCGCATAAGGATAACAAACTTTAGGGTACATGTTGTATATAGTGCGTATATAATTGTTAATGCTAATTCCTGTGTATTCATTTTTAACATGTGGCCCAGTGAATGGATTTTGAATTTCTGTGCTACTGAATTAGGTATGTAGTTTTCGCTTCATATTTGATCTCTACTGATGATACATTACTTACTGTTATTCCTACATTAACTTTGTATTGACTGATATGTGTTATAACCATCGAACCTCATTTCATACTGTACTATTTTCCTAATTTTTGACTGAAAGCCCGACTAATCAATATGAGAGAAAAATTTCCGGACGATGCGCTTCTCACTTTATTACTTGCTGTTGGCTTTTTAAGTATGTCCATGCAAAAACACATTGGTTCACGTCATCTTGCTATTTTACAGGTAAGTTTCTTTTCTACTCTTAAAAACATAATACATTACGTGGTCGGTTGCCGTGTGTTAGCGTAATCTAAAGAAATATTGAGGATTATATCAGTACTCTTAACAAAAATTATTTCCCTTACATATCCAGTTACAATGGAATAACGCTAGTAGTGAATAAAATAGTTTTGTTATCTGGATGTTACTTTTTTTAGAGAGAAACTTACGTAAACTGCTTCTGATAGCCATAATAATTCAGTTGTGATCATGAAGGAAATTAAGATTTATATGAAGTAATATTTTAGGTCATGCATCAGTGACATCAAAAAACGTTTTCCTGCTCACACAGACGTTCTATAGAGTTACAATGGGCTTTCACTTCCCTTTTTCAATATCTTTAAGCTTATCATCTTGTAGTAACGACCCCCGATATACATAGTTTGATATATTTCTAAATATTTCATTTTTGTCATTTCATTATACCTTATTTATTTATTTAAGGCTGTTGGTTTTCTTGGGGAATATAAACGTTTACGTGGTGATTGCCAGGAGGTTTACTACAATATAGCACGTGCTTGTCATCAACTTTGTAAGTTTACTGGAATTCTAGATTCAGAAATCCTGACTTGAATATATATATATATATATATATATATATATATATATATTATAGAATGCTCTTTTGTAGCTTTTTTTTATTAGGAGTTGAGGCTTTTGCTCAGTGGTTGTAATGTCCTTTACTTGAGCACATAAACGTTTTAAGATTAAATTCGCGAGCTTTTTTTCCATTCGACTACATGAATATCATTTTCATCCTTTATCAGTTGTCTCATTATTTTTGTGATAGTTTCACCATAAGTAACCAAAAAATTAAGCATTTTATTGATGTATGTTTTCACCATAAATTCATATTTTAGGTTATATCTCTTATTGTTTATTTTTATTCCACATAGTTGTTGGTATTCTTGCAGCTATTTATAATTTCTTAATTTAAAATTCCTTAATTGCCTATACAGCTATAGAATGTAGTTCCATTGTTAGGTCACATACAAATTAGAATCTTGGAATTTATGACTGGGTAGTATACGACTAGGACAAGGGTTCATAGTTCTAACAATTTTATTCACCCAATGGTAAAAATAGAGCGAAATGTAATTAAAGTTTAAAGTGATTCATGCTTTTCGACTGAAATTATTATAGATATTAATACTAGCTTTTAATCAGTACACTTTTCATAGTTTTTTGGGCGTCTCCATCATCATTATCTGTTTTCTAACGAGAAATTTTAAAATGCGGTTGTTCGAAGGTACATTTTACGAACGCTTGCTTAATATAGTTTGTGTGTTTCGGCTTGAGTTATTTTAATCTGTATTTTCTTTGGTTCAAAACTAAATGTAAAATAGATATTTGTATCTACTAAACAAAGTTCTTCCAAACAGTTATTTCTGTGTTATTTGTGAATATCAAGGAGTCAGAAATTGAAACAGGTTATAGTGTGTATCTTATATGGTTTGTTAAATAGAAATTTATTTTTATATCTTCTTTGTCTATCATTGACAAGCTTATTATTATGTTAATCAGACCACATCGTTTGTAAACATTTGGAAGGAAATTTCACTAGAGAACAACTTTCAGATTCATTATTTCTTGTAAAACATAAGACTTATTAACGAATGAGCATGAGCTTAGTTTGTATAAACGATATTAATTTACCTACCTCATCTTCCTGTAGTATATTTTATGGTTGACGTTTTCGTAATTGTGCATGTAGTTAACTAAATAGGCACTTTTTTTAAATTCAGTAATTACTCATATGGCTATTCACTATTATGAAAAAGTCCTTAATATGGAGCCTATTGGAAACAATCATGAAGAAAAGTCTGTAAGTCCTGCTTTCTTTTGTTTGAATATTCACTATTGTTATTATTGCGGATGTTGATTAACTTAACCCATATTCGTATATTGTTTTAGTTTAGAAACTCATGTCATACGTATCTTCTGACTGCATTTATTATTCTTTCACTTTTGGTTTATTTTATTAGCTTACTAATCTGCATAAAGAAGCTGCTTTCAATTTAGCTCTTTTGTATCGAACTAATGGGAATGCAGCAATGGCGCGTCATATACTCCAAAAATATGTTGTCATTTAATAATGATGTGTTTATATTTTTAATGATTTATTTACTTTTTACACACAATAGTACATATAAAAGTCCAACTCAAGCTTTTAATTTACCTTAAGATCTGTTTTAAATCAAATAATTATTTCTTACTGGTATAACCAATTAGCTAACTATGTCAGCATTATAGACCAGCTTAAAACCAGGTTTTGCAGTTGAAAAAATGATCTCTACCGACCTAGTCTGAGATACTTGTGAATACACATTTTGGATATATGTTGTTTAATCCAAAAATGTATGTATTCAGACTTCAAAAGAAATGTTACTCGAAATCCCTTGTCTTATTTTTCAAAACTTACACAAGTGCTCTAATGAATCAAATTTTATTCCTGATGATCCATCATATCGTACGAAATGAAAGTGACAGATTCAGTGGAAAATAGAAACACCTTCCTTCGCGCTACTTTTTAAAAGTGATCCTACTTAGAAGCATATCAAGTCCCGGTATTTTCAGCGATTAGTATTTGCTCCAGTTAAACTCTAATAAACCTGGTTGCTTATCTTAGAGGTAGTTAAGTAGTAACGTTCACACTTTTGGAACATTGTTTATTTATTCATGAATCCATAGTCCATAGTTTTCAGTACTTCTAAATCCTTTCTTATTTAAAACTAATGATTTCATTTCATTGTGTAGAAGTTTCACTTTTTGTAGATAGGAACCAGATTGATTAGGCTCATACCCTTACAAATCGCTAAACAAGAATATGAAGCATTTCAATAGAAGAAAAAAGTTTGTAAACACGTAAAATACCAATCAACTCCCTATTTACAACTCTGATTACGAGCAGAATTTCGATACGTTTATTATGTCATCAAATGATCCACTAATCATGGCAATACTTTTTAAGTTATTTATGCATTGAATTTCTCGATATTTACTACTTGTAGGACAGCATTAAGTAATCCCATAGTTGCATTATGTTTGGACCTATCCAAAAGGATATATTACTAAAATGTGATAGGTTCTACAATTTTCCAAACAAGCCTACAGAAAGATAATTTTCTGACCGAGAACTATCAGTTTCGTGAAACATTGTATAAAACAGTCGTGCCGTATAGGCTGGAAGACATTATCTTGTGACGCCAAATTATAATTACAAGCGCTAGTATTCCCGAATAGTGAGTTTGAAATTTTAGGATAAATTATTTGATTAACGTCACTGGGGAACAGATTAATACTGACTTGAAATATACGAACTGGTGATGCGAAGAAACGGCATGACGCACAGTTCGTGAGAGGTACTCCTGGTATGCTGAGAGAGTTCTTGGTACACAGAATACTATTTAGTACGCAAAATAAGCTGTTGAAACCATATAAATGTCTGAATTTCACTCAGTAGCTTATTTGCTAGTATTGACGAACGAATATTGTTGGCAACCGAATCAACAATTACTGTCATTAGCAAATGAATCATCAGAATCTATAAATACAGCGATGAAGAGTCTTCGTACTTATGATTCAAATGTCCTCGGTCATGTTGAGAACATGAATATCGTATATGCAAACGTGGGGAATGTGTGTATCTGTTCAATTTGCGATACCACATCAATACACAAAGTAGTAGCTTGATTACTGTGTTTAGAAGTGATTACGGATAGAATATATCACTCTGCGAATATGATTATTGCAATGAACAGAAAAGTTAGTGAACTAAAGGTAGAAAGAAAGGTAAAGAGGAATGTATTTTCACATCCACGAAGGATTCTCAATCGCGTTACTTATCATTTGCTACAAGAAGCGCGCGTAACTTAATCAGTCGGTTTGTACATACAATTGATCTCGTTTGGCTACTTATGATTGGTTCGTTATATCTGTGCATCCATTACAACTACTAGCCAGCTTAAATTGAACCCTTTTCTATATATCGGCAACTATTTCTTTAAACTCACTCACTCTAACATTTGATCTAACTGGTTTGAAATCTATCGATCATAAATGTATTGCAGACGAGATCGCTGAATACCTGTGGTATGAATTCATGCCACTTTCTGGCCTGATCGACTTTTAGCATATTTTTCTTGTCCTTAATATCTTCTAGTTGGACAATGAACAAGAAAGTGTCCACTTGATTCTATTATGTAAAAGCCTGATCTGTTTTTTATTTTAAGACCACATGAATTAGCAATCAAAACCCTAAATATATGAAGACCATGTCGCAATGGCTATTTCATTTGGTTAGGTCATATCAAGTTAATGGAATTTCTAAACAGGAGTCAAATAACCTGTTTTTCACAATTTTAAAACAGCAGTTATTCATACAACAGTTACTCGCTATTGTTATTCACATGAAAATGACTATGCTCAACGAAAAGTATTCTCTAGTACATAATGAGCTTTGACGAACATGTTCGACTGCTGAGCCTTGTTTGAAAGTCCAGGAAATGGAAAACCTTATTGAGCAGGTCACGCCACAAAACTTGTAAAAAGTTGTTTAATACTTATAAGTAACACACAGCTGAGGCTATAAAAACACTGAGGATTGGTAAACGATCGTCAGACAAATACATCTGCAAATTAGCTTTGAACCATAAAGGGTAATAACGTACTTCACTCACAGCGTAATATAAGACAGTGAATAAATTGCAGCTACAAGCTTCTACAATAAGCAATACAAGTATTTTAGTTAGTGACACCAGACCATATATCGACTTTGACAGAGGCTCTTCCCAGCCATTAAGTCTCAAAACTCCAGGACTCATTTCGATCGGTTTAATCATGGGAGTTTTTGACTTGATTTCTTACGTATATCGCCTTCCCCTTTGAATTAAAAAAGGACTAACACACAAATGATTAAAAGCCCAGAACGAACGCATTAGATATGTCTTTTAGAAGGTAACGGATTTAGGGACGTTTTATGGGTTCACTGAATTATCGGTACCCATTAAAATTCTCTACAACATGAACAAGTTCAGATCTGACACAACATCAGAGGAGTACTCTGAAGCTAGTGCTACAGAATAGAAAAAACGGATAAGATTTTTTCTTCCGGATCCCTCCAGTTGGTCGAACTTGGATTCCTTTAGTTTCTAGGACAGTTCATGTAACTTCTTGGGCTCTTCTAACCACTACTTAATAATTTGGAACTAATATTTGCATCCAAGTCTACTAGCTTTCAGACTTTGAAAACTTACATAAAATGAAGCGATTCGTTCGATTTGTTTCTGCGATTGTTTCTTTTTATTCTTCCATGTTCATAATTCCGTCTTCGAATATACATTACTTGAGTCCAGACACATTTGACCAATTCTGACGGATTTTGAACCCCGCGCTTCTTTGTAATGGCTCGCTGAAAGCTATTCAACCATCATGTTGAGACTTTTGGAGATGTTGAAAGTATGAGTAATAAACACTGTCTCGTCTCTCAATCGTCTTATAAAAAATTCTGCAAACAACTTCACGAGACGTTCTAATTTGATTGTCAGATGAGCTGTTGTCAATTGAAACGACTGAACTTGTAAAAGATAAATAAAATAACCCATTGTGTTATCGAATAAAAAAAGAATTCAGCGAAGAAAATTTTCTTTTCGACGAAATCATTTACTTAAGCTGTACATTCGTATATATAGTTATATGGAAAATATATGTCTCTTGGAGGATAGAAAAAATTGCTTCACCAAAATGGATTCGAGACTTTTATTATCAAGCGAGGTTACGCAATAACCAAGAGGTAAGGAAGGAATACAAGAATGAAAATAATTTGCGGGTCAGATAGTTGTCCAGTTGACAAATATTAAGAAAAACGTCAAACATAAAGGTCATATTAATATAAACTGGATAATAACCAAGAAAACTTTTATAAAATAATATTAATAACTGATTAGAGTTTAAAATTACAAAGCAATAATTCAACAAATCAGTCATAATCACATAAGAATGAAGAGAAAAAGTAAAGAAAATAACCAAAACATAGTGCTAAAGGGGATTAGGGCCAAGGAAGAATGAGAGGTTGGACGAATCTATTTTACACCCAAAGTTCGGGCTTGATTCCGTGGACTTCCAATGTCTCATCAGTACATAAAATATTGATTCAACATCTCTTCGATGGGATTCCTTTGACTCTGTAGATTACCATAAAAGGGAAATCCTTTGGAGCGATGTGTCCATAGTTGATTAAATGCTCCTATCTAGAACTAGAATTTGTCTTACATTCTCCTTTTAAAGGCCAAGCCGGATAGTGTTCTGAGATGAGTTTGGAAAGTTATCGCATTGTGCGACCTATGTAACGTGCCCCACATGAGCAGGTAGATTTATCGGTACATATTGATGTGGCTCAAAACGGAAGTTTATCCTCAACACATCCACGAATGTTTAAGAAAACCATTCGGAGCATGGCTGTGTAGAACGTTTTATGCGACGATTCTGAAATCCGTTTATTTAAGATTTCAGCAGCCGTGTCTCCTTTAAATTCAATATCCACAAAACGGGGTTTTCTTCCGTACTGTTGGTGCTTTTTTCAGAATGTTAAGTTGCTATTGACGAATCTCGGTGGATAACCATTCCTAATGAGAGTCTGTCGAAGTTGAAGTAGTTCCCCATCTATTGTACCAGTATGACATATTCGCCTGATCCTTGATGATAAATAGTGAATTGGGTTCCTCTTTCTACTCAGTAGGACCCAGCTATGAGATTTCGTGTACTGACCATTCCAGGTCGGTTTTCTGCATCTTACTTACTTACTTACTTACTTACGCCTGTTACTCCTCGTGAAGGAGCATAGGCCGCTCACCAGCATTCTCCATCCAACCCTGTCCTGGGCAATCCTTTCAAGCTCTTTCCAGTTCTTTTCATCTTTTTCATATCTGCTTCTAGTTCCCGACGTAATGTGTTTTTTGGAATTCCTCTTTTCCGCTTCCCTTCAGGATTCCAAGTTAGCGCTTGCCTCGTAATGCAGTTTGATGATTTCCTCAATGTGTGTCCTATCCATTTCCATCGTCTTTTCCTAATTTCCTCTTCAGCTGGAAGCTGGTTG